TTCGTCTCAAGGTATGGCTGGGGAATTGAGGTGCTTTTGATTACAGAACGTTATAAACTTGCCAGCGAGTCTAAAATACTCATCAAAGAATTTGCCTATCTAAGTCCTAGTTTAATACGTTGGAAACCATTAATTGCTTAGTTGTTGCATTAGCGGATAATGATTATTATCACCAGTCATCGGAATAAAGCCTTTTTTGTTATCGAATGATAAAGCCGTTGAAACATTCTCTCCGAAAGGTACAAGCTTTGTTATCTCCGAAATGAAACAGCACATACCGAATGTTGCAGTGTGGTAAAGCACATGCGGGTCAACGCATACCGCCTTGGCTACTTTTTCAAGGACGATCAGCTCTGCATGGTCGATTGTTTCGTGGCGAGAAATCACATAAATGGCACGCTCATCGCATTTACCATCGTGTGAGATGCTCAAACAAGAATAAAGCACGCCGACATGTCGATTGAAAAACAGGAAGCGGAAGATCACTGCAATACAGAAATGTCGTAACACTGGTTTCGTGGAATCAGGTTGTAGTAACCAAATGAGCCTACTTGTGGTAGAGTTCTTCGTAGAAGCTTCAAAATGTAACTCATAGGAGAAGTCAGTTCCATTCTGTACCTCATTGACCGTGAAAACTCGAGTGAAACACTCAAGCGGCTCACCAGGTAGAGCTCTTAAACAGATCATTGCATTTTCTAGAGGGCAATTGTTCTTATTCCATGTATTGCCCCAGAATGAGCTAAATATATTTTCGATACGATGTGATTAACTCCTTTGCAACGGCTTCACTGTAGTAAATCAAATAGATAAAAGTTATTGCTGAAAATAATTGCTTAGCCTTCAGAGCTATCTAACATAAGACAAAGAGAAGTTTTATAATCTGATTAATTAAAATTGGGATCGCTCACGCTGATTGAAAAAGTCGTAGAACCGCCGAAGTTGGAGAGACAGCGGTGATTCGCATTACCATAGCATACGTGTCTAAAGCCATTTCGTCGAATCTCGCCATTAGAAACCATGTTCCTGCTTTTTCAATCTGAAATTAAAGTTCCCCTGGATTTTTTGCTGTACCAACTAGGAGGATGGATTATAATGTATAACAAGGAAATGATGTTCTAG